CAGTGTTTGTTGCAGCACTATTCACAACAGCCAAAATGGGGAAACAACTTAATACCCATCAACAGAATAAATCAATGTGGCACATACTTTCAACAGAATACTACAGTAGGAGGAATGAAGTCTTGGTACATGCACCGGTATGGATAGAGTGTGAAGATACTGTGTTGAGTGAAATAAGTCAATCACAAAAGGACAGATACTGTATGACCTCACTTATATAAAAAGACAAAAAAAAAAAAAAAAGGCAAATGTATAGAGACCAGAGTTTATTAGTGGTTACCAGGGACAGAAGGGAAGGGGAAAAAGAAGAGGTTAAAGTGATGGAAAAACCACATTGATTTAAGGGTAGAGTTGCACAGTCAGTAATTGTAATTGCTGTCATTAAGTTGTACATTTGTAAAAAGTTGAATTGGTAAAAGTTGTGTAATAGATATATTTGCAACAACAACAAACATAGCTGCTGAGTCTGCTTATGTCCACCCAACACCTCAAGTGACTTAGTTTCTTGGTTTGGTGTTTTAGGATCATAGTTTCAGAGATATTCTTGTAAATTGGCCTAATAACGTGTTCAGTGCTAACGTGTTCATTGCTTCTGTTATACCTTCTAATTTGTTGCATAGTGCCTGGGGTATTAAAAAGCTTGCAGGCAACCATCCAAAGCACAATTGGTCTCTATTCACCTGGGACGACAAAGGAAGAAGGGGAATCAGGAATAGGAGGAGAATATGGAAAATGTGGTTGATTGCCTCCATGAATAGCTGCCTCCTTTGACATGAGACCAAAAGAACTAGATAGTGCCTGGCTACCAATACTGAACATTTTCATCAAAGATTCTATAGAAGAATCCTGATTCAAAGGGGAAAAATGCAGAACAGAATTTCAAATTCTCATGGACTCCAGGCTTCCTGAAGCCATGAAGGTTGAATGAACCAACCCCTGAAACTATTGTCCTAAAATAATCTTTAAACTTTAAACCACAAATAGTCTTAAAACCGAGCAATAAATAGTTTAGCTTAACTAGGGGGGAAAAAATGTCTGCCTTGAGCATTATGCTTTTTTAAGAACTACGTGTATGGGATCAAATTGACAGCTGCAACTCAGAAGATTAGATAGGAACCTTAAGGGACAGTGAATGTATGTTAATGAAGGAGGAACAAGTCAGAAAAGGAGGGTGAAAATGGATGCACAACTCAGAAAAATGAAATCAGTGTCACTAAGTGATACATGTAGAAACTGCTGAATTGGTATATGTTTTGCCTTATGTATTCTCAACAACAACAACAAAATATATAAATTTTTTTAAATATTGAACATTCTGCTGTTCCAAGAACATGCTCATAATGGTATAATAATTACTGTTTAATTAATACAAATGTGTCTGACATAGTTCTAAAGGCAAATTATGTCTGCCAAACAACAACAACTTCAATATAGAGATCAAAGTTGTGATTCTAAATGATTAATCTATCCTAATGATAGAGTATCCAGTCCTTACAACCACTCATTTTTCCCCATCACAGTTCTTGGTCTGTTAGTTCTATCTTTTTACTGCAGAATACAGGACTTTCACTTCCTCCATAAGGACATCAGAATAAAAAAGGGCCCAATAAAAAGGTCTGCTCCCTCTGTCCCTCGCCTTGCCAACAAACCAAAAATGTGTAACCACCACCACCACCACCCCCAACATAACTGGCACACAAAAGCAGTGCTGTTCTTTCCTGGGAAAGGGAGTGGGGAAAATATGTACCTTGGTTTAAATTGAATGTTCAGTAAAAGGTAGAAAACAGCGGTTGAGGATACTCTCCTGCAGTATCCTGCTTTCTTAGACCTCTCCTGCAATACCAAGCCTGTGAACTTGATCTTCCTAGAATATACTCCTTCTCCAAGTCAACCTGGAAAGCTGTAGTTGATCTCTTAGACATAATCTGTTCTGTGAAACCTTTCCCTCATGCCCTCTTGCCCAAGAAGAGATAGTCTGATAACATTTTAACACAACCTCTCTAGTATGGTTTGTCACATTGTATAGAATTATTAATTTACAGATCTGTTTCCCATACTTCGCTGAGCTCTCTCGGAGCAGAGATTTTATTTTAATCATTTATTTATCCCAGCCCCTCACATATTAAAAAAAAAAAAAAAAAACACTGCCATCACGCCAGTTTTAATTCATAGCGAAATTTTATGACAGGGTAGAACTGCACCATAGGGTTTCCAAGGCTATAAATCTTTATGGGAACAGACTGCCTCATCTTTCCCCCTCAGAGCAGCTGGTGGGTTCAAACTGTGAACCTTTTGGTTAGCAGCTGAATGCTTTAACCATTGCACGACCAGAGTGGCTTACTTACATAAGTTAAATAAATATTGTTATATTGAATTGAGTCTTTACAGAACTTACCACATGTCTCTAAGGTAAGTTAAGATGAAGTCATGAGAGAAGGTACAGAATTTTGTAGAGAATGAATTCTAAGATCTGCTTCAGTCTTCCAGAGAATGGTTTTGTCATTCCTATGTGTAAATTGTAAGGAAATCCTCATGGGTTTTTTCTAAGGATACAGAGAAGAAAGTATGTATATGGAAATATTTCAGTAAGGCAAATCAGGGAGGGGAAACCTTTACCCTGGGCTGGTCCCATGTTTGATGCTCTGCTAGAAGTACTGGTCCTTCTTAACCTATTATTATACATATGATTGCTGTAACCTGTGTATCAATCAGCATTCAAACAAGGGAAAAGAAGCACAATTGTATTTATGGAATCGGAGATTTATTGCAAAAATTAGACCTTGTAGAATTGTGGGTGAAGATGGGAAAATAAATGCAAAGGAAGGAGTTGGTGGCTTAGAAAAAAAATCATTAATCAGTCCCCCTGAAGCACTGGTACGGATGGGGAGGCCAGGTAGCCTCTTGCAGGAAAATCTTTAAGCTAGGAGCATCCCACTGCTAGAGTGGGACATGCTGGGTGGAGGGTAGGAGGGGGTTTGGTTACGTAGTATAGAAGTCAGTGGAATGCTTTTGCCTCAGCGTAGCCACTGCTTCTGTGAGTGCTGTCAAGCAGTTGGTGGCCTGGGGTCATTGGTCAGCAAAGCTGGTAGTTCTAGACACAAAACAGGGAAAAACAAGGACAAACTAGAACCTAGTGGAATTTCTGCATCTTACTTTCTCCACCTCTTACCACTACAACCTTCAGAAAGTCATGACTGCTACTTCACTTCCATCTCCCAGATCTCACAGAAATTTCTCTTTTGGCCTTTTCTAGCCCACAACCGTAAAGGGAAATGGGTTGTAGGAAGCTTAGTTCTTGGTTAGCCACATGACACAGTACAAAACCACTATACTATACCTCTAAAATGTCTACCACTCGTCAATTTGTCATACTGTGGTGGCTTGCGTGTTGCTGTGAGTCTAGAGGCTATGCCACTAGTATTTCAACATGTATGACTTCATGTGTTTTTTAAAAAAAAGCCTTCTCGGGACCATAGTCACAGGGGACATCAAGCTCAATTGGCATAACATACTACACAAAACATTGTTCCACCTCCTACTTTGGTGAGTAGTGACTGGGATCTTAAAAGCTTGCAGGCAGCCATCTAGTTGCAACAGTGGGTCTCTCCTCATCCAGAACAAAGAAGAATGAAGAAAACCAGAGATTCATGGAAACAATTAGTCCTTGCGACTGGTATACCATGCAATCCTCAGCCTATACGACTATGAGACCAGAAGAACTAGATGGTGCCCAGCTACCACTGTCAGCCACTTAGAGGGGGATCTATGGAGGAGATCCTGGATAAAGAGGGAGAACAATGTGGAACAAAACTCAAAATCATTTGGGAGAGGGGGAAGGGGGACCAGGTTTGCTGGTTTGATAGAGCCTGGTGCAACCACTGAGACTATTGCCCCTAGCTGCCCTTCAGGTCTGCAATTGAACCCACACCTGTGGCTTCCAGCCAAACAATAGACAGGCATGGGAGCTGAACATGTACCTGAGGTAGATATACTCCTTGAAGAGAACAATCATAGGCTGTTTATGCCCAGGGAGACAGTTCAGGGAGCAGGAGTGCATGGAGGGATGGACACAGGGAAGAGGTAACTATCAGGAGGAAGTGGGAGGGGAGCTGTTGCATTGGGGTAAATTGTAGTCAGTGTCATGAGACAAAGTGTATGTGAACTACTGTATGGAAAGTGAATTTGCTCTGTAAACTTTCACCCAAATCACAATTTAAAAAAAAAAAAAAAAAGTGCTGAAAAGCCAAAAAAAAAAGCCTTCTTGGGTATTACCTAATAACATCCCTAGCTGGCACACATTTCAGAAACTAATTGTTGGTTGCAAATGCTAACTACTGCAGAAAATGTTAAAGTGATTATAAAAAGATTCTTTTTCTTGATGGTCAACATAGAATTTAAGTACATTGCTGTTACAAACATTCATCTCTTGAGATCTTCTGAAAAGGGATCTAAGGAAGAAAAGGAAGTAACTGTGCACTGTGCCAAGAACTTCTTATGTCTCTATTTCATTTTCATACCAAACCAATGAGGCTCCTAAAAGTGAAGTAACTCAAAGTTAAGTTCATAAGACAAGGATGAAAATTCACCCTAAAATTTAGATTAATTTACGTCTCTGTCTAGGTTATCTTTTTTCTAGACTGCTGATTATTTTCTCTTACTTTTATTGAAGTATAACATATATACATGTAAAGTGAACTGATCTTAAGAGTGTACTCAATGAATTTTTACCTATGTATATATCCACGTGATCACTATTTAGATACAAATACAGAACTTTTTCAATACCCTTGGTTGGTTTTCTTTGGGCCCTTTGTACTTTCCAGGTAAACTGCCTAATATATTTATAGTTTTCATTACAATGGATGGTGCAAGTTTTGGAACAGTGGTGAGGGGAAGCAAGCATTAGCAGTGAAGTGGAAATGTTAAATAGTCTGCCCCATAACTGCTTTGAACTGCATCTGCTTATATCACTTTCTCTTTCTGCTTTTCCCCTAAAACAGGTAATCAGATCCTGTCCCTGGGGAGGCTCTCAAAAGATCAGATTTATCCAATGAAACTCAAGGGCATCTCCATCTGCTATTTGGCTCTCAAATCTGCCTTGTGTGGAAATTATGTCAGCTTTGGCGTCTTCAAGTTGTATGGGGATAACCATTTTGACAATGTACTCCAGGCCTTTGTCAAAATGCTGCTGTCAGTGTCCCACTGTGACTTGCTAGTAAGCACTCATGCATCATCGGAGTCTTTTTGTAAAACATGAAGTAACACCATCACAGGCTTGGAATTGTTATAATGAAGCTAAGGAAGTTAGAAGCACCAGAATATTTTATGTTTTAAAACAGCACACTTGATTTAACATCCAGAATTTGGACAGCTATAGTGACTGTATTCATATAATTAAATGTGCATTTTAGAAAGCTGTGGCTAACGCCTTCTGACAAATTGGTCATCTAGAGTGCTCCAGATTTTGCATCTAGAGAAAATGTAATTAGCAATTTCAACTAATTGCTTACAATTATACTCATAATTCAAAAAAGTATTTATTCCCTGGAGCAGAAAATGTAGGATTGGCTGCAGGATCTTCCCCTTGCTTCACTGCTACGCTTTCTACTCCCCCTGCTATTTGGCCTTTCTCTCCATTAGCATTTTGTTGTATTGGACAGAGTGCTGGCCTAAAAGTTGAGCAACCTGGTATATGATCTCTGCTCTGCCACTCACTAGTCATTTACCCTAAATATTTCTCTATTTCTCCAGGCTTTAATTTCCTCACCTTTAAAATGAAGAAATTAAGCTAAGTGATCTCTAGGTCCCTTTTCTGCTCTACTATCTAGTTTCTATGATTTATGTCATTGGTTTTCAGACTTTGAAGCTAGCAGAATCACCTGGAGTACTTGTTGGAAATTCAAATTTCCAGACCTCTCCACTGAGATATATTATTACCAGACTTTTTTTTTTTTTTTTTTAAAGAACATCACTGCCTGATTACGCAGAAGCCAGTATGTGCCCATTGTGATTGCAGTAATTACTTGGGTTACACAGGCAAATTTATGCACATGCTTAGTCCCGTGGGAAGCACAAGCTTCCCCACCTACTCCTACCCCAAGGTTACAAGTAAGATGGGGCAAGGAAGGGGGGTGCTCTTCAGTTGACCTGTGTGAGAAATGCTTCTTGGCCTCCAGATGGACTAGCAGCACCCTCTTCCACCATTCTAAGCTAGTCTTAATAGAACTCCACCCGAATCCAAGGTTATTACGCCTCTTATAGTGGGTTGGGATATGTATAGAAGGCTATGCCTGCATGATAGAAATTACTACGTAGAAGCTTGAGTCAGACCAGCCTTGGGTTACAACTGCTTCATTGATGAGACTTTTCACTACAGTTGAGATCCACCAAGAAAACTTCTGTAGTTCCAGAATTTTTCTCTCACCTATTGTCTAATAGAGGGAGCTCTGGTAATGTAGTGCCTAAGGCACTTGACTGCTAACCAGAAGGCTGGCAGTTCAAACCCACCAGCCACTCCTCAAAAAGAAGGTTGGACAATCTACTTCCGTAGTGATATTGCCTTGGAAATCCAAGGAGGGGTCACTGTGAGTCGGGTCCGACTCGACAGCACATAACAACAACAACAACAACAACATGTTGTTGTTGTTATGTGCCATCAAGTAGACAAGCAAAATTCTAGTTCAGTGATTTGTAAACTTTAGTGTTCATAATACTCTCAACATATTATACGTTTAAAATACACAGTTTAAGGCCTCACTCCAGAGGTTTTCACTTAGTGAGTCTGGAATGGGGCTTAGGAAACTGCATTTTTGGCAAGCACCCCAAGTGACTCTTATGGAGGTGATTTTAATCTCACTTAAAGAAATGTGGCTCTGGTTTATATGTCTTATGAGTGTTGTGCTTCTTTGATATTGATTTGGGCTGCATATGAAGTGTTCTAGCTAACTTTCTCAGGTACTTATCTTTTACCTGTGGTATATGATAAATATTAACCCAATTACCAAATTATGATTTAATTAAATGAGTTGACATTGTGTGAATACAGCAGACTATAATGCCAAATCCATTGTAATAGCAAATTAGTGTTTTTTTTTAAAAGAAAAAAATTGCATAGCCACTATTAAGCACTGTTCAGTGTTACAATATTCAGTACAGAAAAATAATTCACAGTCTGCTAAATTTCATGCTGTAGAAACTTACTTGCATTTAAATGTTAACTGTATAAAATGAAATTGAAATATCATATAAAGTATAGCTTCAAATTAGAGTTTCTAGAGATCAAGAGAGACTATTAAAACTTTCAAATGCTGAATTGGGAATCATTATGTCATTTGTTCTATATATTTATTGGCCTTATGTTTAAGTAAGTTTACAGTGTCCAATATTTTATAAATAGCAGCTTCCACGAGTCTGTAACAATCTTTGTTTTCCTTCCCTGGGTCTTGACATTTAGTCTGTCTCTGTGTTGTAGCAATATCGGAAACTGAGCCAGTCTTATTATCCACTTCTGGAATGTCTCACCCAGGACCACATGAGCTTCATCACCAATTTAGAGCCTCCTGTACTCCTGTATGTTCTCACATCTATCTCAGAGGGACTCACTACTCTTGGTAAGGATCATGAAGAACATTGTTTTCAGAGGAAAAATTGGATTGTGCTCTCTGAATGAATGTATGTGCTTATTGAAATTATCATCCTATAAAGGAGAAGAAGATAATGTGAAACAAACTAGAAGATTCTTTTATAACTATTACTTTTATAGTATTTCTATGCTAAGAAATATAGTATTTGTATACTATAAAGCAATAATAATTTTATAGCTATTACAGTAGAAAAATCCCCTTTTTTGTATTTTGATATACAGTTTGTTATTTTTTTTTTATGAACTTTCTTTAGTTATATTTTACAGACATTAAAATTCACCCATTTTTAAGTGAACATTGAACATTTCAGTGCATCTTGACAAATGTATACAGTCATGGAACCCCCTCAGTCAAAATACTGAACATTCTCCTCAGTACATAAAGCTCCCTCCTGCCCTCTTCTAAGCCATTCCTTTCCCCCATCTCCAGCCAAAGGCAACTGCTGTCTACTTTCTCTCACTATATTTTTGCATTTTTCAGAATTCTATATAAATGAAATCTTTAATGTCTTTTGTGTCTGGCTTCTTTGTTTTTCATCGTGCCGTTAGGATTCATCCACATTGTTTTGTGAATCAGTAGTTGTTCCTTTACTCCATTGTATGGGTTACTATTCACTAGTTTGTTTTAGCCATTCACCAACATTTGGACATTGAAGTCATTTCCAATATTTGGCTATTTTGAATAAAGCTACTATTAACTTTCATGCACAGGTTTTTATGTGGATAAATGTTTTAATTTCTCTTGAGTAAATACCTAGGATTGGGATTTCTGGGTTTTATGCTGAGTGTTTTTTTAAGACATTATAAGAACCTGCCAAACTGCTTTCCAAAGTGACTGTACCATATTGGTCCCACCAGCAATAAAGAGAGTTCCAGTTGCTCCACATCCTTAGTAACACTTGATATTACCATCTTTTTAATTTTAGCTATCTCTGGTAGTGTAGTGGCTAAGGCACATGACTGCTAACCAGAGGCTAGCAGTTCAAACCCACCAGCCACTCCTCAGAAGGAAGGTTGAGCAATCTACTTCCATAGTGATACTGCTGCGGAAACCCAAGGAGGGGTCGCTATGAGTTGGGTCCGACTCAGTGGCACATAACAATAACAATAACAGTAGGAGTGAAACAGAATCTCATTGTAGTTTTGACTTACATTTCACTAATGAGAATTATTAAAGAATAATGATATCCTAATGAATAATGCCACCAGTCATCTGTCAGTTTGTCGTACTGTGGTGGCTTGCGTGTTGCTATGAAGCTGGAGGCTATGCCACCAGTATTTTGAATACCAGCAGGGTCACCTGTGGTGGACAGGTTTCAGTGGAGCTTCCAGACTAAGACAGACTGGGAAAAATGAATAATGATATTTAGCATCTTTCCTTGTACTTATTTGCCATTCATGTATTTTGTTGGTAAAGTGTCTGATCACATACTTCACTCATTTTTAAACTGGGTGATTTGCCTTGTTGTTGAGTTTTAAGAGTTTAATATATATTCTTGGGAGAACAATGTGGAATAATACTCAAACTCATGTAAAAAAAAAAAGGACCAGGTTTGCTGATCTGATGGAGCCTGATGGAATCACTGAGACTATATGGCCCCTAGCTGCCCTTCAGATCTGGAATAAAACCCACTTCTATGGCTTCCAGCCAAACAAAAGACAGGCATATGAGCTGAACATTTACATTAGGTAGATACACTCCTTGGAGAGATCAATCACAGAATAGAAGGGTTGTGTATGCATAGGGAAACAGCTCAAGTGGCAGGAGTGTATGGGAGGGAAGGACACAGAGAAGAGGTAACTATGGAGAGGAAGTGGGAGAGGAGCTGTTGCACTGTGGAAAATTGCAATGTCGTGAGACAAAGTGTATGTGAGCTACTATATGGAAAGTGAATTTGCTCTGTAAACTTTCACCCAAATCACAATGAAAATTTAAAAATAATAAGAAAGAATGCCACTAGAGCTCCTTTTAGGTTTTGTTTTTTTTTTTTTTTTTTTTTGGTTTTAGATAGATACAAATCCTTTATCAGGCACATGTTTTGCAAATAATTCTCAGCCTTTGGCTTGTCTTTTCATTTTCTTAACAGTGTCTTTCAAAGAACAAAAGTTTTTAATTTTGAAAAGTCTGATTTCTTATTGTTTCTTTTATGGTTGTTTTTGCTCACCCCAAGGCCATGAGGATTTCTCTTGTGTTTTCTTCTAGAAGTTTTACAGTTTTAACTCACATGTTTAAGACTATAATCCATTTCAATTTTATTTTTATATATGGTATGAGGAAAGTTGAGGGTTCCACCCCCCCCCCAACATATGGATATTTAATTGTTCCAGCACCTTCTGTTGAAGAATATATTACACTCTTGGGTTACCTTGACATATTTTTAGAAAATCAATTGACCATATATGTATGTTGGTCAATTTCTGGATTCTTTGTTTATCTTATGCTAATACCATACTATCCTAATTTTATACTAAATCATAAAAATCAGATACTGTATGCCCTCTATTATTTTTTTCTCTTTTAAAATTCAATTTTAAAAGAATATTTAAAATATACTTAAAAGACTATTCTGAATATTCTGGGTTCTTTAACATTTTATATAAACTTTAAAATCAGCTAGTCAGTTTCTATTTAAAAAAAAAAAAAAGACTAGGAGTTTTGATTGAGATTGTATTGACTCTAGCCTAGTTTGGAGAGAATTGACATATTAACAATATTGAGTGTTTCAGGTCCTGAAAGTAGTATGTCTTTTCATTTATTTAGGTCTTTAACTTTTCTCAACAGTATTTTTGTACTTTTGAATGTATGCATCTTATACATATTTTGTTAAACATATAACTAAGTATTTAGTATTTTATGCTATTATAGCTAGTATTATATTTTAATTTCCTATTGTTCTTTACTATCTTATAGAATGTAATTGATTTTTTTTTATGTTGACTTTCTCTCCTGCAACTTTGCTAAATCACTTATTAGTAGCTTTTTATAAATTCATTAAGGTTTATAAATTTATTAAAATTTATTAAGATAGGTCTTCAAATAAAGACAACTTTCTGTTCTTTTTAATGTCTTTGCTCTGTTCTAGAGTCAGTCTAATGCTCTCATAAAATGAGATAAGAAATGTTTCCTCCTCTCCTGTTTTCTTGAAAACTTTGTGTAGAATTATTATTTGTTCCTTAAATGTTTGATAGAATTTTCTAATGAAACTATCAGGCCTAGGGTTCTATTTGTTGGAAGGTTTTTAACTACAAGTTAAATTCATTTAATACATATAGCTATTAACATTATCTATTCATCTTGAGGAGAGCTCTGGTGGTGTAGTGCCTAAGGCATCTGACTGCTAACCAGAAGGCTGGTGGTTCAAACCCACCAGCCACTCCTTGGAAGGAAAGTTGGGCAATCTACTTCCGTAGTGATACCGCCTCGGAAACCCAAAGAAGGGTCACTGTGAGTCAGACCCGACTCAATGCAGTAAGTTTGGGTTTTGGTTTTTTATTCATCTTGAATGGCATTTGGTATTTTGTGTCTTTAAAGAAATTTGTCCGTTTCACCCTAAAGTTCATTTAACTTAATTGACATAAAGCTATTCATAATATCCTCATTATCCAATTTGATTTCTGTAGTGTCTATAATAATGTCCCTCTTTCATCCCTGATATTGTGTGTCTTCTTTCTTTTTTGCCTTGATCATACTGGCTAGAGATTTACTGCAGAGAATCACCTTTTGGTTTCACTGATTTTTCTATTATTTTTCTGCTTTTGATTTGAAATATGGTCTTTGTTACTTCTTTCCTTCAGTTTATTTTGTTCTTTTTCTAGTGTTTCTCAGGTAGAAACTTGTTGTTGTTAGTTGCCATCAAGTCGGTTCCAACTCATGATGACCTGAGATCATTATTTTAAACTTTTCTTCTTTTTCTAATACATGCATTTAATACTTTAAGCACTATTGTAGCTATAGCTCACAAATTTTAATAGGTTGTATTTATTTTTATTCAATTCAAAAATATTTTGTAATTTCCCTGTTGATTTATTCTTTGACTAATGGATATCTACAAACACACTGTTTAATTTTCAAATATTTGAGATTTGCCTGATGATATCTTTTTGTTACTGATTTTAGTTAAATTCCATTGTGGTTATAGAATATAGTTATAGAGTACTCTATGGTTTTTATACCTTTTAAACTTATTGAAACATTTTTTGTTGTCCAAAAGATAGTGACTATTCCATGAGCAGTTGAAGTGAATGTGTATTCCACTGTTGTTGGGAAGAGTGTTCTGTGTCAGGTCTAGATGATTGATAATGTTAAGATATTCTATATTCTTACTGGTTGGTTCATTGTGTGTTTGTTGTCTACTTGTTCTGTCAATTACTAAGAGAGGAATACTGAAACATCGAACTATAATTATAAATATTTCTATTTCTCTTTTCATTTCTATTAAGGAGCTCTAGTGGCACAGTGCCTAACGCATCTGACTGCTAACCAGAAGGTTGGTGGTTCAAACCCACCAGCCACTCTGCAGAAGAAAGACTGGTCAATCTACTTCCATAAAGATTTTCCACCTCGGAAAACCAATAGGGGTCATACAAGTTAGAATCCACTCAATAGCAGTGGGTTTGGTTGTGGTTTTTTTTTTTTTTTTTTTTTTTTTTTTTGCTTTTTTTTTCATTTCTATCAGTTTTTTACATCACATATTTTGTAGCTCTGTTATTTGGTGCATAAATGTTGTATATTGTTAGGTCTTGTTGATGAAGACTCCCTTTATCATTATGAAATGACCCTTTTTGTCTTTGGTAATATTTTTTCATCTTAACTCTACTTTGTTTCATATTACTAACCTCTTCAGCTTTCTTTTGATTAGGATTACCATGTTTTTCCACCACTTGTCTATCAGTTTGTCATACTGTGGTGGCTTGTGTGTTGCTGTGAGGCTGGAGGCTATGCCACCAGTATATCAAATATCAGCAGAG